AGTTATCATAAAAAAAATAAAAATCATCTTATAACTGTTATCATATGCATTTTAAAATAAAACTCAAAAAATAATAATTAAATTTGATTTTTATTATATTCATCAAAAATAATAATTATTATATGCCTTTTATTTTTTTCGCGCAGAAATAACTCTTAAAATTTGCTTCTTATTTTAAAACGCACAAATAACTGGTATACTTGCGTTATATAATATAAAAAGCAAGAGTATCGCGCAAATTCTGCGCGATATTTTTAAAATGAAAATATGAAATGCAATTTTCATACAAGGTAGTTGTTTTTGTAATTCCATAGAAAATGTTTTAAAAGGTTGGTGCAGGTAAAGATTTAGTTTAGTTTTTTGTTTTTGTATTTTGCATACAAATTTGTTCTCCTACAAAATACAAATATAAATACAAAATATGAATCCAAAATACAAAAACAAAAAACTGAACTAAATCTTTACCTGCACCAACCTTTTAAAACATTTTCTATGGAATTACAAAAACAACTACCTTGTATGAAAATTGCATTTTATATTTTCATTTTAAAAATATCGCGCAGAATTTGCGCGATACTCTTGCTTTTTATATTATATAACGCAAGTATACCAGTTATTTGTGCGTTTTAAAATAAGAAGCAAATTTTAAGAGTTATTTCTGCGCGAAAAAATAAAAGGCATATAATAATTATTATTTTTGATGAATATAATAAAAATCAAATTTAATTATTATTTTTTGAGTTTTATTTTAAAAAGCTCATATATACAAAGCATGCATAATATTAAGGATAAAAGTTATTAGAATGATAACTATTTACTTAAATAAGAGTTTAGACAACTTTTTGTTGCTGCTTTTTTTCATAAAAAATTTTAAAATAACTGTTATTTTCGGTCCCTAATATTCAGAATTGTTATCGTTGTCGAGGAAATCATCATTCAGATCAGTGCAAATTTAAAGACGCGGAATGTTATTATTGCAAAAAGCGTGGACATATTAGGAGAGCTTGCATAAAAAAAGCAAAAACCAAAAAGCCAGCAACAAATAATTGGAGAAGACCAAACAGAGTTAATCTTTTAGACACAAGCCAGCAAACTCAAACGACGGAGTATTTATTGTGAATGTTCGCTAAAAGTAGTCCAAGAGAGTCAAGAGAGTCCGATCAAGAGAGTGATTACGATAGGTAAGTCACCGGTACAAATGGAAATAGACTCTGGGGCAAGTTACTCAATAGTAAGTGAGAAGTTATTTAGAGAAAAAAATGCCGTATATTCCGCTAAAACCAAGTCAAATACAATTGAGAACTTGGGGAACAGAGAAAAATCTCAAACCGAGTGGAGAAGCAGAAGTACCAGTTTCGTTTGGGAATGTCACAAAGAAACTAAAGTTATTAGTAGCAGCGGGTGATGGTCCGGCTCTAATTGATCGAAATTGGTTTAACGATTTGGGAACTAGTATAACCAGCAATTTATGTAATGTAGAATCAACAATTTCAGTAGAATTTATGAACCTCAGTTCAGTTTTTGATGGAAATCTTGGAAATTACAAGGGAAATCCTGTAAAGTTACAAATGTCAGTTTCAAGCAAACCTGAATTTCTTCGATATCGACAAGTGCCTTTTGCACTAAAACTCAAGGTGGAAGCAGCATTAAAGAAGTTGGAAGATGAAGGCTCAATACCCTTTAGTAAGTGGGCAATTCCGGTTGATCCTATTATTAAACCAGATGGTAGCATACGCATTTGTGGAGATTATAAGTGCACAGTGAATCAAATGCTTTGCAAGGAAACGTATCCATTACCTACTAATACAGAAGTACTAGCAACATTAGCAAATTGTAAGTGGTTTACAAAGCTGGATTTAGATCGAGCATATACACAGGTGAAGGTTGACCAAGAAACAGCAAGGATACTCACACTAAACACACATCGCGGACTTTTTGAAGTTACAAGATTACCGTTTGGAATTTCAACGGCACCAGGTATTTTTCAACGGGTAATGGAAGGAGTTCTTAAGAACATAGATGGTGTGATAATTTATTTAGACGACATTCTAATTGGCGGAACAACTTTGGAAGAGTTGTGGGATAGAACACGAACTGCTCTGAAATGTGTACAGGATGCAGGATTGAAGCTTAAAAAATCAAAATGTGTTTTCGCAGTACAAGAGATAACATTTTTGGGGTTTAAGATAAGCCGAGAAGGAGTGTGTCCAACTGACGAAAAGGTGAAGGGAATAGTTCAAGCACCAGAACCAATAAATAAACAACAGCTACAAGCTTTTCTTGGGTTAATTACATTTTATGATAGATTTTCACAAAATAAGGGCGATCTATTGGAACCGCTGTATCGACTATTAAGAAAAGAGATACCTTTTATATGGGGTAAAGAACAGAAATTAAGTTTTGAACGAGCAAAGAAACTATTACAATCAAAAAATCTGTTGGTGCATTATTCGGCTGACTTACCACTGATATTATGCGGAGACGCATCACCGTATGGAGTTGGAGTTGTTTTGGCACATAAGATGCCGGATGATAGTGAAGCACCGATTGCTTTTGGCTCCAGAACATTACAGGGAGCGGAACGAAATTATTCACAGTTGGATAAAGAAGCGCTACCGATTATGTTTGGTGTGCAAAAGTTTCATCAATTTTTAAGTGGTAGACAATTTACAATAATGACTGATCATAAACCACTAGTGGGGTTATTCAACCCAGAAAAACCAATATCACAGCATATATCACCCAGAATGTTAAGGTGGTCGTTAAAGTTAGGCGCTTACCAGTACGAGATTAAATTCTGAGAAGGGAAACATCACCAGAATGCAGATGCATTGAGCCGATTACCTTTAAATGATGTAAAGCTACAAATACCGGAAATACCTGAAATATTATACTGCAATGAGGCTGAAGAACAGTTTTTGATCACTGCAAAAGACATCGCACAAGCAACCAGAAGAGATCCAGTACTATCAAAAGTAATGTGGCATATCCAAAGGAAAGATACAGTTTTGCCATATAAATCAATCCAGTTTAAACCGTTTGTGAATAAAATCCAGGAACTATCAGTGAATGCACAATGTTTGTTATGGGGAGCTAGGGTAATAATACCAGCAATACTACGTCCCAGAATACTTGACATGTTGCACGAAGTTCATCAGGGCATATCGGCAATGAAAGCAGTTGTACAAGCTGTTTTTGGTGGCCTGGTTTAGACGAAGATATAGAAATGTTAGCCAGACGTTGTGAAAAGTGTGCAAGTAAAAAAAGGATTCCTCCTATTGCAGCAAGTAAACCATGGCCAGCAACGCTAAGGCCATGGTCATGGTTACATATTGATTATGCGGGACCCTTTATGGGTACAAATTTTTTGATCGTCGTAAATGCTTATAGCAAGTGGGTAGAGGTAAAATTAACCAGTACAATAAATGCGATTAGAACCATGGAGTTAATGAGAGAAATTTTTCCAACACACGGAATACCAGATACCATTGCGTCCGATAATGGGCGAACGTTTGTGTCAGAAGAATTTGAGAAATATTTAAAACTTAGCGGTATAAAGCACATACGTACGGCACCGTATCATCCATCGTCAAACGTACAAGCAGAAAGGTTTGTACAAACCATTAAGAATCACATTAAGAAAATGCAGTCTTCAGACATCAATAAGAATTTGGCAAATATACTTTTGCATCTGCGTACAACTCCTAATGCAAATTCAAATTCGAGTCCAGCAGAAATCTTGATGGGAAGGAAGTTGAAAACATTGTTAGATCATTTGCACCCCAGTGATGACAACACTCAGACGCGGCTAAATTCTGATGAGTATTCCAAACAAATAAAACCAGTTCGCAGTTTCCAGTGTGGTGAAAGTGTTTGGTACCGAAATTTTGGAAGAGGTGAAAAGTGGATGCCAGGGATTATACAATCAACAGGAGATCGCAACTACAAAATTCAATCAAATAGTAACATAGTGTCGAGACATATTGACCAGTTGCATAAGCGAGTTTCGGAGACACCGACAAGTTTAGAATCCAATACAACTCCAGTGGCAGTAACTTCAATGGCACAACCGGAAGAGCAAGACGACCAAGTAAGTGCAGGTCATTCATCAAATGAATATATCCTACCAGATAGTCAAGTAGAGGGGTCATTAGAAGAAGAAGATAAAAGAGATGAAACATTAAAATCGCGACCGTACCGGCGGAGGCAACCGCCAAAAAGGTTACGGGACCATTTGATGGGGGAGGAACTGTAGTATATAGTTACATATTAGCATTGATGCTAATATTTCTCTACTTATTTACCCCACTGTACCCAAAAATTCATATAATAAATTTCATAATTTATTAGGGTCACTCAATTCCGTAAATCTCAAAAAGTTATACAGTATTTAAAAATAATATCATTTCAAAAAATCCAACAATCTATACAGCATTCAAGTATAGTAATATTTCATACTTTAGCATTTTCTTGCTACACTTAACATTCCAATGCAATATAAACAAAACCCTAATAAACGCACTTGGGACAGTCAGTAGCCACAACAGGAAACGCTACTATAAACATTTAAGAAGATACACGCATCTATCTATCGCGTGATCACTTCTTAAGAATGACACACATACAGTCAAAAGATGAACTGTACTATTTCTGCTGATCATAGCATAATTTCAAGCAGAGAGCTTGAGAGATGACGCTATGTAAATAGCATTACATTTTTTCGTTGTCATGACAATAACAGAGGACGCTTCTGTTAAAATTTTAAGTAACATTAAAACTTTATGCTAAAGTTCTGTTAGAACAAAACTTTAAGCTCTTGTCCATACAAAAATCAAAAGCTTCAACTTAACAGAGTTGACAGCTTGATTTTTGATACTGTTATTAGGGGTATAAAACCCAGGATCATTTATGTTAACCTTAGATTTTGTTAAAGATTACAATCGTCGCGAAGTTGTGCCTTCCTTCATTTTAAATTTGAAAGTGAAAATAGTAAAATAAATATTTTAAAGATAAAATATTAAAATTGAAATATTAAAATTGTAAATTTGAAATTGAATATTTGAAATTGAAAATAGTAAAATAAATATTTTAAAGATAAAATATTAAAATTGAAATATTAAAATTGTAAATTTGAAATTGAATATTTGAAAGTGAAATTAGTAAAATAAATAATTTAAAGATAAAATATTAAAATTGAAATATTAAAATTGTAAATTCCAAATTAAATAATTGAAAGTGAAAATAGTAAAATAAATATTTTAAAGATAAAATATTAAAATTGAAATATTAAAATTGTAAATTCCAAATTGAATAGTTGAAAGTGAAAATAGAAAAATAAATATTTTTAAGATAAAATATTAAAATTGAAATATTAAAATTGTAAATTTGAAATTGAATATTTGAAAGTGAAATTAGTAAAATAAATATTTTAAAGATAAAATATTAAAATTGAAATATTAAAATTGTAAATTCGAAATTAAATAATTGAAAATGAAAATAATAAAAATTGAAACAGAAATTAAACATTTTAAAGATAAAATATTAAATTGAAATATTAAAAGTATAAAATTGAAATTGAATATTTGAAAGTGAAAATATTAAATTGAAAAATATTAAAATTATAACTACTGAACTGAAAATTAATAAATTGAAATTACTGAAATTGAATTAATTTGTTTCATTTTTATTCACTTTACGCGTGCAACGGACGAAACTATATTCGATCATGGCAACCCTGTATAAAGAAATAGATAAAAAAGGAAAAATACGAAGTGAGTAGGTGTTCGTCGTTGTGATCAAAGGAATAAGCGTGCCATGCCGTATAAACTATTATTATTATTAATTAATTGTAAGTCTATATAACTTAAATCAATAAAGTATATAACAGCCACTATAAATTTAATTACTTTTTAATCGTTGAATTATAAAATAAGTGCGTAGGATTGTGTATAATGATATACTGGTACCAGTGACGATTGCTCTAAGGTGCGGAGGTGTGCGGTGAACACCCTAAAATAATTTGCAAAATGTCAAATAACATAGGCATATAAATTTATTATGTATCTTCACATCAAGAATTATTATTATTTATTACATTTCCATATATATATTTTTAAAGTTTTAGCAAAAACAATTAAATATAATTGTCTATGAAAACTCAATCAATTTGCTTCTGTTAGCCGCTATACTCGTTAGTTGTGCTCATATATTTGCAGCTCAAATCACAGAACATTTCTATTATGTTTCGTCTCTTCCCTTTGTGTGCAAAGAAGTTGGCCGCACATTCATACGTTGCATATGAACAAAATAATGTGCGTGTACTCCCGTTCATAATATTAGAAATAGAGATTTATATAGTGGGAATTGTATGAGAGTAATTTTCTGTTCTACTCGAATATCAACTACACACATACGAATTCAACATGATGATTTGCCAAAGTGGTTGCATGAGCGGCTGAAGTTTGCAGCTCATATCACCATACATTTCTATCACATTTCGTCTCTCCCCTTTTAACAGCAGCACCCACGAATTTCTGTTCTTATTGTGCGGGGTACTTGTGCGCACATTTATACGTTGCAAGTGGTTTCGATTTTGTTTGATCACTGCACAAACATGTATGTTTCTAAGTACAAACTCTTTTGTTTGAAAAAATTTGGTTTGATGTTACGAGAATTATGTGAAAAGTTTTGTTTCTTTCATATTGATATAATATTAAACTTGTATATAAATTATTAATTTAATTTGTTTAATATGTTATTTTGTTAATGAATTGTTAATATAATATAGCGACTATATTGTTGCCTTAAATATAGTTATTATTAATAAAAGATCTCATATATTTTAATATGAGTGGTACATGTAAAAACAACATTAAAGAAGGGCCGCACACCCTTCCAGATAAGGCACGCGTCGTCACTGACTGGTACAGTAAAACATAAAGCACGCAAAATTCTGCTATTAAAACTACGGGAATTCCCCTTAATATGTTTTGTACACAGACATTTTCTGCTATGGATAGCGTTGATTTTTTACATTTTTAATTTATATAATTTTTCTACTAATCTGTTAAAAATAATTTTTAGCTTAAAATGAAGATAAAAAATAAAAATATTAATAAAAAATAAAATTGATTTAAAAAATTTATTTATTTAGTTATTTTTTATATGTTGAAATAAAATTTACTTTCTGTATGCAGAGTGCAATGCAATAAGCAACAGCAATTTAAACCCTGACGAGGAGCACATTTTGTGTGCAGACTTCAAAATAAAAATGCACCTTAATGTGCGGAGACGAAATGTCTACTGCACATTTGTGTGAAATGATGATTTAAAAGCGCACAATATTACGATGAATAACGCAACAAAATAGTATGAAAGACTGATTTGCATTAATTTTCGTCTTAAGGCGAAATATTTTATTGAAAAAATGATTTTATATTTATATTTTAATTTTGAATTTATTATTAGATTCACATTTATTGCTTATATTACTTATTATTTTAAGGTTTATTAATTTAAAACATGGGAATAAAGTTAATTTCACAATGTACTTGAAGACTTTGTTATAATATAAAATATAAATAGTTTATGATATATGAGTTAAATAGGTACATGAATTTAATAAAGAAAGAGTATTTGTTTCGAAATGTTATAAGTAAAGAGTATCGGTTCTACATATCTTACTTTAAAAATATTAAATATATCAATTTTGGACTACTTCATAATTTTAATTATCACCTAATCATCACTTAAAAATTAAAATAAACACGATAGAGTATTGCTTTTGTCCTTTAAGGTGTAAGTGACTGAGGCTTAGTATGTTTGTTTTTTACTTAATAGTATTTTACCTAATCTATTATTAGTATTCATTCATATATTTCTGTGGAAACTAATTGCTTTGTATTTAAAAATTTTGTGTCCTACCAAAAGAGTTAAAAATTTTACTTCCTTTTCATGTTTTTTAAGTTCACATTAGCAAATCTAAGCATCCTGCTACCTGTTCAAGAAAATATTTTCCTAATCTTTCGTGTTTTTTATTAAAAGTTAGGTACTCTACCTATGTAAATACATATTATTTGGGAATAAAAAAATCTTCCTAAAATATGTTTTTATTTCTTTTAAACTGGTGCAAAACTTACCAAACAAATACTTTAAGTTTACTTACTAAATTTGCATTTAAAAATGCACAAAAGTTGGAAAGTAATATACAAAAAACTAATATTTTAAGTTAGAATACAAATTAGGTTAAGACAGTTATAATTTTTAGTCAACATTATAAATATTTAACAAAAATAATTATTTTAAATATTTGTTAATTTATGCTATTTTTAACATAAGTTACGATGCCAACGAACATAAATATTTATTTTTTCAAAATTTGCAACAAAATATTTCAAACAAAATTGTGTAATTCATGTAATTTTTTCCATCCTTGGGTGCAAGCGCAAAATCGCACATTTGTGCAATCGTAATATTAGCAGCCCAGCGGGAATCGATTCCCTCAGCGCTGAATGGTAATGCCTAGCGCTGATTATTCAAAGGAAACTCCTAATTACTTTAACACGTGCATGTCATTGCGAGCAAGCGCTGAATCGTTCGATTACCTTTTCAAATTTGTAATGCAACATTTCAGCGCTGACATGTTCGCTTACCTTTTAAATTTTACCTATGCTATTGATTTTTAAATAAAATACTAAAAATTTTTTTGGATGAATTATATTTTATATTTATGTTTTATAAAATCAAAATATTAATATTTACATAAAAATATATAATCTTATATATATAATTCTTCTGTACGTGTGTTGACAGTGAACTCCTCCTAAACGGTTGAACCGATTTTGATGAAATTTTTTGTGTGTGTTCAAGTGGATTCAAGGAAGGTTTAGATTCACAATTTGGCCCACTGGATAATGTCTTTTATCCGCGTTATCAAATCTCTGAATGGTTACAGGCTCCTCGGGGAGGTATGTAGATCTGAGGTTAATAATTACTTAATCTGATGAAGTGATAAACAATAACCTTTTTTCATTTAAAATGTAGTGCTTATAAGGATTTGAAGTAACATGAAAATATTTGTAACATAAGTAGATCAAAAAGTAGAACATTTGTAGATCAAAAGAAAAAATCAATTTAAAATAATTTTCGCATTAAAATGCTAAAGGTTAAGTTGAATAACAACAAATATTATAACTCAGCTGAGCCAGGAAAATTAATTGCAAGGGGAAACAACGTCCGCCGGGTCAGCTAGTATAT